ATGTTTTGAAAATGCCCTAATCGGTTGGCGCTTATTAAAGTCAAAAGGTAAATAATTTGAGGCAAGTGTTGGATTATTAATATCAAGTAGCTAAAAATGTATCGAGTTTTTATTAAATACCGATAAAACAGTAATTATACTTTTACGGTTTAAGACTATTAAAATCTCTACTGAGCGAGAATCTCTAAAAAATAATGAGAATTCCTGAGAAAATAATTGAACCAGATATTATTTAACACAATGAGTAAAAATAGTTACTTGAGAAAGACTTGAGAAAGGTCGTCGTATTTTATCTAATGCTTTATTACAGTCAATAAAATATGCGTATATATCTTGATTGACGTCCAGGCATCTTTGGGTCAGTATATTACGTGAAAAAAAGCTTCACGCGTTCCTAGCACTTTGCGAAAACCAAATTTTGTGTCATTAACATCTATGTCCAGTTTGTGATATATTCGGGTATAGATGACTTTTACTAGTAACTTTAGCACATGAGACATCAAGCTAATGGTGCGGTGATTCCTTCATTTTCTTGTGTTTTTTTTTTGGGAGACAAATAAATATCAACGTTAACCACTCTTTGGGTAATACGCTTGAACTATAAATTTGGCTCAAGAGTGTCACTAAAACATCAATGTGTTTCTCATCTAGAATTTTTAGGATTTCTATAGGAACCATGTCAGGTCCAGGGCTTTTCTCATTCTTTGTTGTTTTTATTACGCGTAATATTTCTTCTTTTATAATATATGGACATATTTCTTGTGACGTAAGTTCTATGTGCTCTAAATCTTCTCTTTCATAATCGAACAGTTCGGCGATATATTCTGCCCATCTTTGTACTTTCTCGTCCATCTGTGTTATAGTAGTCATGTGTCTATCCAGAAGTACACTAGTGAGATTTTGTTTTCTTAGTCTTGCCAGTTCTTTAACTTTTTTGCGTTGGTTTAAACGATCGTATTTATTTTAAAGGTCTTCGATTTCTTTGAATTTCAGATTATTAAAATATTTTTCTTTTGGCTGCTTTATCATCTTCCTGATCTCCTGATTTGAATTTAGCGTGGTGTTTGGCGGAAACATTTCTGACAGAAGGATTTTAATTGGAGGGTGAATGAAGCAAACGATATAATCTTCTTTATAAGAGGTCTCCATGTCAAAGGTAATCGGATACCATCATCTCTTTTATCGAGAGAATTTGGCCTTTTTTCAATTTCTATGACTTCGCAGATAATTATTGGTTTATCAAAGTGAATGAGGACTATGTGTCTGCAGTTTTTAAAATCAATTTTGTGACATATATGAAGATGTGTACACCTAGAGCTGAAATTAAATCAAAATTGCAAAGAGAAATGGAATGTTCATAAATTCATTTGAATTTCCAGCTTTATTTGGCGTATATAAGATTTTTCAAGGAATTTCATGTTGTTGATTTGAAATGTTATCTTTATTTGATCGGGCAAGAGATTAAATGTTTTGTCGGAGGTAAATACTGTCTTTATTCCTCTTGATTTGGAAATTTTATTGATTTTGACAGTGACACCTTTGATGTAAGGAAGTAAAGCTTTTGTATGATGAAAGTATTAGTTTTTGGGTGGGGAATAAGTGGAAGATTGGTGACTGTGTATGCTTCTATTGATCTGATTTTCGCGGTAACGGTTTTCGATGAGGACTTGTTTTAAGCAAGGGAGGTAAGCGAGTCTACTTGCCTTAAAAAAATACAGCTCGCGTAAAGAAAATATCGTTTGCTCCACTCTCCAATCAAAATCCTGCCACCAAAAATGTTCGTATTAATCCCTACGCCGTGCCAAATGAACCGTGGCGTTTCCAGTAGCAGTAATGTATCGATTAGTGATCAGTGTTGTAGTGTCTGGGGGTACGAGAGACTGAGACTTGGGAAGCCCCGAAGAAGACATCAGAGGAGATGCCAAAATCTCGGCACAGTAATAATCGACATGGTTTAACTCGAAATTCAAACCGAAAGCCGGTTTGTACGAGGAAGCTTAATATTAATTCTTGTAATAGTATTAATCTTATTTTAAATTTATTATATATAATAATAATATAATAATATATTATATATATATATATATATATATATATATATAATATTATTTGCCTTGCATAACAATGAAATACATGTATTATTTCTCGAATACGCCTAAAGTTCTCTGTAATGGTATTACTGAAGAGTTTCAAAAGGTTTTTTGTAGTGAACTTGCGTGTTATTATTACAATAAACGATGCAGAATGCAGTTGGAAAATTAACTTACTCATAAAATAATAGCATATAGTTTGAAACGAAGCTATTAACTGTATAAATGGTGCAACAATTTACTCTGTAATTAAATAATAATTATTAGGATACTAGAAACAGTAGAATAATTATTATAAAAGCGTGTTGTCTCTTGCGATACGAGTATTTTAATGGTTTCGTTTTAATGGGAATGAAGTATGATTATTGTTTTATTCAAAACGTAAACATATTTAATGATATTTGTCCTAGTAACTATTCTACAAAAGAAAAATTGAATCTATAATTATGTATTCAACAGTTAAGAGAGTTATTTTTATCTTCCCACTTTTCTGATTTGCAATTTTCAAATTTATTACACAGTAATATGATGAAGTCTTACCCCACTCTGTCAACTCGTGTATTCTAAAGACAAAATACAATTCCTCGTACACGTCGATTTTTAATTTTTTTTTTAATATCTAACTTTATCAAAGTCTTGTTATTTTGACGAACCTTTATCAGACGACAGCAACATCCTCAATTCTTTTTAAATAGCAAAGGGACACTTCATATAAAAGGTTAATAAAATCTTATTCCAAAAATATATTACTATATTTTATTTTTGTTTATTTATTAACTGATGATATCAATATTGTTAGTTTCGAACTATTAGTTTAATAAATTAAAGATTTTTTTTAGTTATTCAAAATTTTCACCAGCCATTACTATTTTAACAGAAATAAGCCACAATTAAAGTATAAAATAAATTTATGGATATTTCCATTTATGGTTTCAATTTCCACTTCGGAAATCGTTTTCAAAATCAATATTTTCATTTATTATGTCTACTACTGGACATAGGCCTCCTCATATAAACTCCTTCATTCTTTACGACTTTGTGCTCTTTGTTGCCAATTTTTCGTGATACGGTTAATGTCGTCAGCCCAAAGCGTAGGTGGTCTTCCTCTATTACGTTTGTCTGCTGTTGGCCTCTAATTTGTAATTTTGCTAGTTCATCGTAAGTCATGCATTCTTGCTACATGACCTGTCCAGTTCCGCTATGCGTTACGCAGAGTTTGGTTATTACAATTACAGACTCTTTTCTGTCTCTAGCTGTCATTATTAGCTGATCAAAATTTAACCCTTACCATTGTTACATGTTTCTTAGTCGCGATAGTCTTTTCCTCCCTAGTCCTCTTTTTCTTTCGATCAATCCTTTCAGTATTAGTTGAGTATATTGGTATTTATTATTTTTTAGTATGTGACATAGGTATGCTGCGCTGACCAAAAAATCTTGAGGATACTCCGGAATATCCACATTTTAAAGACCTCTATAATTTAACTTTAGTTAAGTTGTTAAAATTCTTGTATAATTCTCTAACATAGATCTTATGGATTTTTCTGGTAAAACATGAGCTTAAGGTAAAGTTACAAGGAAAACAGTTATTGGGGTAAGATCCTGTGATCACGGTGAGCCTTGTATGAATCCTAGTGAGCTAGTCAATTGTCTGGGAAAAACTGTGTTTAAATAATTTCGAACTTTTGTTATGCATAATGATAATATAGCTTCGTCAAAATTGCATTAAGTGCATCTTCCATATATATGTATATACACTAAATTCCAAGTTCTACACCGAACTATGCAAAGCCACTGAAACACTTGAAAAGCAATCAGTAACCAAGAAGATGTACCAGAAGTTCTTCCGGAATAAGTAGAATAAGAAGCAGAAGAAATAAGTAAAATCGATAACTATAAAAACAAAAAACGGTAAAGCAGCTGGAATAGAAACCTGGAAAATCTTAGCATCGTATGACATTTTTGCCTGGGAGATCCTTTCTGACATATTCCGGCACCATTGGTATCTTTAGCTCTGTTTCACGTAGATAGTGTCGATGCACACACTAGCCCAGGGGGACTGACGGCTTAACGTACCCTTCGAAGCACAATGTATTTCGATCTGCCCAAGGTCAAAATGTATACCAGACCACTGGACCACTGGAATACAGTAAACATAATTCTTATTCATGATATAGGTAGTAAAGAGGATATCAAAAAACTACAGGCCTATAAGTCGACTACCAGTCACATACAAGATATTTACAAAGATCATAATCAACAAATTAGCAAATGCGTTAGATGCTGCACAGCCAAGAGACCAAACAGGTTTCAGAAGTAAATGCATTGTCTAATGTTTGCGGAAACATATTTCGAATACGAATGTTTTCGTATACGTCGACTTAAACGGGTCTGAACCATTTAAATTTCGATGCTAGTGCACGATCAAAGTAATTGTTGTCATTTCAGTTGTCACTTTAACTGTGTACGTCAGATAAGATTTAGGCTGATAGTTTTGAATCGTTGTTGTAAACAATATTTTTACATTGAACTTTCTTTTCAATGGCTGGTTTAAATAATTTTTTTATAGAAATATGTAAATATAGTTAATGGCCTTGTAGAGGCGCAAAGATTAGCAAAGGAAGAGGCAGAGTTTACCGTCCCTTTTTTAACCCTTTAAAGGCCTATTTGGATGCACAATGTCAAAAATTGTGCAGATTAACAAACCTCTTACAATGGAGTTGATTAGCTTGAATGGCTTTTTTTTTCGGCCAACACCAAACCACCATATCTCATGCCCATTTTTTTTACTTCTTTCAGCTAATTTACAAGAAGCAAATTAAGAAGCAAGTTAACTGGTATACAAAAAATTCGATTCAATTCCAAAATCCGCCCCCTGTATTACTACATAAAAAAAAACAAGTATGTACTTACTTTGAAGGCAATCGGCGTTAAGTAGATCTTTACACTTCTCGTGGCACTTTACTCCGCACTCGGTACACCGGACTCCCTGCCTGGCAATGCCCCACAGGAGACCCTCGCACTCGTAACAGTAGGTAGGTGATGTTGCCGTCCATGGGACGAAGTTGTGGGGTGTGGTGCTGCTGATGGGATAGATGAGTGCCTGTAGAGTCTTCTTATAGACGTGCATTTTCTATAAATAGACAAATAGTAACTAGTAAATAGATCCACTCTGTATGAATTTTGCAGTTTATATAATTTTATATTATATTATATGCCATAAACATAATTTTATATTATTGGTTTTAAAATTAGTAAACTCGGAATTTTAGTATAAATATTTGATGTTCGTTATTAATTAATTAAATTATAAGGCATTACAAACTCATTTTTGAATTTTTATGTTATGGATTTGTAAATTATAAATTAGTACACAAAATATCGATACTTTATTGCCTATTTTATTTATGGTGTAATTGGTTATTAAAATTATTAAGTGGAACTCGTTTATAATGCATTTATTATTAATAGTTATAACATGATAAAAAACGGTTTTTAATTTTTTGGGGGAAAAATGTTTGCATCAGAAATTAGTCCGGATAGGATTTACAGTTTCTCTCTTGTTTCTAGCTGAAATTAGAGTAAGCTGCTGTTAGAAAAGTAATTAACAATTTAGAAAAAATTTCACAATAAAAAATCTGCGCTACAGATTAATATTTTTTAAACCTCTATCAAAATTTGTTTTTGAGATTATAAAAAAAATCTGGCACGTAAAAATGACAATTCTGACATATAGATATTTTTTCTTTTTGAATTTACCATTAAAGTTCGTTGATTATTTCTGCCACATAATATACCACTTTTCTGATTCTATTTCGTCCATCGTGCTCTCACTGTACTGCACACTGTTTTATATATTTCCCCCTTGCACTAAAGTATTGATCATAGATACCTAAAATTATTTCACTATCCAAAGAAAGATATTTTTTTCTTATTTTTGATAAATATAAATATCTAGTCCAGTCCGAGATTTGACACCTTAAAATGTGTAGCTGAGAAAATTTTGAACAAAAATGTTATTGGCACTTTTTGCTTGGAATGAACTTCTTCTTCACGTGCCATCTCCGCGACAGAGGTTGGCAATCATCATGGCTCTTCTGATCCCAGATGCTGCTGCTCTGAATAGTTCAATTGATGCGCATCCGTACCATTCCCTCAAGTTACGGAACCATGAGATTCTTCCTCTTCCTACACTTCTCTGGCCCTGGATTTTCCCTTGTATAATCAATTAAAGTAGGTTGTATCTCTCATTACGCATAACATGCTCCAGGTATTGCAGCTTTCGTGTCTTGATGATTTCCAAAACTTCCATTCTTTTGTTGATTCTTCTTATGACTTCGTTGTTTGTTACATGCTCGTTCCATGATATTTTTAGGATTGCTCTATACACCCACATTTCAAATGCTTCCAACTTTTTAGCAGTCGACGCGTTAAGTGTCCATACTTCCATCCCATAAAGCAGAGTCGAGAAAATATAACACCTTGGCAGCCTAACTTTTAAGTCCAATTTTAGTTCTCTTGCACAAAGTACCTTTCTCATTTTATTAAGATTGTACGTGCTTTCTCTATTCGAACTTTGATTTCTTTGGAGTAATCGTGTGTGTCAATCATTATTGTGCCAAGATAGTGGTAGTTTTCAACTTGTTCTAAAGCACAACCGTTAATTGTCAGGGTTTCACCATTATTTTGGGTTTTTGATATCCTCATAAATTTGGATTTCTTGATGTTTATTGATAATCCATATTCTTCTTCATACTCAACTATCTTGTTCATTAGCTTTTGGAGGCCTTGGAGGTTGTCTGCTATTATAATAGTATCGTTCGCATATCTAATGTTGTTAATAAATGTTCCATTGACCTTAATTCCTGCTGTTTCTCCCTCAAGAGCTCTTTTCATAATTTCTTCAGAGTATGCATTGAATAGTAGTGGTGACAATACACACCCCTGTCGCACTCCTCTTTTACTCCAAACTTTTCTGATGTGCATTCGTTAATGCGTGTGCCTGCTGTTTATAATATAGATTTGTTATAATTCGAAGATCATTGTGTTGTAGTTGTTTTGCTTTGAGGATGTCCATTAGCTCTTTGTAGCGGACTTTGTCGAAAGCTTTGTTGTAATCTATGAAACAGACGTACATATCTTGGTTCACATCCAAGCATCTATGGATTAGTACGTTGAATGCAAAGAGAGCTTCGCGGGTACCTACGCCATTACGGAATCCAAATTGAGTTTCTTCAATATCCATGTCAAGTGTTTTGTAAATGCATTTATGAATGATCTTTAAAAACAATTTAAGTGTGTGGGACATCAGGCTTATGGTACGGTAGTTGGTGCATTCTCTAGCATTCTTCTTTTTTGGGAGACAAATGAATGTTGAGGTCAACCATTCGTTGGGTATGTCACCCGATTAATAAATTTTATTAAAAAGCTTTAATAGGACATCAATATACTCATTTTCTATTATTTTAAGGATATCAATAGGCAGTTGATCTGGCCCCGGACTTTTTCCGTTACTGGTGTTCTTTAGTGGAATGAACTGTTCTTTCAAAAACAAAGCTTAAAGCGACCGGCAATTTTGAATGTCAGTTCCGCTGTAGCATTTTTCACTTCTTTCGTATGTATTGAAATCACCCCGTATGTATTAAAACACCGAAAATGTATTTTCAATCCTATTGCATCATTGGAGTCAATAATAAAAACACTTTAAAGTTTGTTTATATATCACATATGCGTATTTTTTTGGTATTTTTTTGATCGTTAAGCCGCTTAATATTGCGCGTTAAATAAATATTCCCGTTTATATGATTTGTTTATACCGAGCTGTGTGAATGATTTTTGAAGAGAATTACATCACTCTCAGTAAGGCCGGCCGCTGTTAAAGCCGTTTATTTTTGTTTCAAATGTTTCTTCAAATTCGTAATTGTTTTGTGCTTTTCATATTATATCATGGGAAAATGTGTACTGTAGTAGCAGTTTTAAATTTTATGTGAAGTTAAAATAAGTTTTGGGAGAATCTTGGTTAAGATAACACGCCACGATGTCGGCGTTAAGAAGCCGGCAAATTTGTTTAAAAAGTGAATTATACTCAATTTAATGTGTCACTTTTATATGAATAATTACTGTGTTTTATTTGCCATGCTATCTCTTATCTAAGGTATTTGTAAAACGGCGTTTACAACAACTTTGAAGGATAACAACATGGTTCCATTTTGCCCAGCAGCTTCCATTTTCATTTTGTTTGTCCTTGGTGGTCATTTCAGAATATTTATGTTTTTTCGTGGCAGTAAATCTCCAGTGAAGTCCAGTTCCAACCCCAGAATTTTTAAAGTAAAAAAGTAATATCTAGTGTATACCAGATACCATTTTATAGTAAAACTTTTTCATGTAAAAATAAACAGTTTTTCATTTGTAACATTGCAGCATTTGTAAATTATAACCACATAATTTTAATCTGTTTCGTTCAAGTGTAAACCCTATTTTTATTTCTAATTTTTTCCGTTACAAATTGTCGCCCTTCTTCCAGAGTTTGTAAACGGATAGAACATAGTACGTTTGTTTCTTTGTTATTTCGTATTTATTTTGTAACTATTTATATAGTATTTTTGTACTATTTTATAGTTGTAAATGTTTGTGGCGAGACAACAATAAATATTAAATTTTTCCCTAAACCATTTTGTTTATTTCTTGTAAAAAAATTTTCTAACTCCTTTTTATGTTTTTAGGAAGGCCATTTTCTTTCATCCAGCAGGAAGATTCTCCTAAGCGGCGTCTATTTTAAATAACTTAAAAACCTGTTTGTGTTTTGTTTGTCCAGGAGACTCATGTACCCCAAAAGTACTGCTGAAAGTAATACATAAGAGAATATACAAAAGGCTAGAGGAGGATATTAGCGAGACGCAGTTCGGATTTCGAAATGAAATGGATACTCGAGAAGGACTTTTTGCCATCAACATATTGATTTAGCGATTTAGGGCTGTAAACGTTGATCTACACTTGTGCTTTGTTGACTACGAAAAAGCTTTCGATAATGTAATACATGAAAAACTAATATCAATACTTATGAACAAGCGCATTGACTGTAAAATCACAAATATAGTGCAAACAGTATATTGAAACCAAAGTGCCATAGTTCAAATAGATGGGCAACATGAAGATCTGTAGAGAGGTTAGACAGGGATATGTTTTATCGTCACTTTTGTTTAACTTTTATTCTGAATAAACTTTTTAAAACACTTTAAATAATATTAAAGCGGGAGTTACCGTTAACAGAAAATTAATTATCACTTTTCGATATGCAGACGACACTGCGATCATAGCAAAGAGTATAGAATATCTACAACATCTTATCGAAAGTTTAAGTATGTATAGTGGGAATTACTATAAACGCTAAAAAAACGAAGTACTTACATGCTAATTACAAAAAGACCACAAATTATATATCAGCTATTGACAATCAATGGTAACGTGATAGAACAAGTAGAAAAATATCAGTAATTTGATCAATGAAACCAATGATCATGCTGCAGAAATAAACAAGCGAATAGAGATTGCCAGATCAGCGATGAAGCGATGAAGCGATGAAGCTAGATTAATACGAATGAAGCTACTTCTAACGTGCAAAAATCTAAATTTGGAGATCAGACTACGTACCATTCGCTGTTATATATTTTTAATATTATTATATGGAACTGAGACTTGGACATTAAAAAAAATACAATTTAAAAAGAATCGAGGCTTTCGAACTTTGGTTATACCGCAGAATATTACAAATATCATGGAGTGACAAAATTACAAATAAAGAAGTACTGGAGAGGGTTGGTAAACAAACAGAACTAATCACCACTATACAAACCAGAAAACTGGAATATATAGGCCACGTGATGAGGGGATCAAAATATGAAAAGACTCATAATAGAAGAAAAGATTCAAGGAAGAAGATCTGTTGGCCGAAGGTAGAACTGATGGTTTAGAAAATATACGTGATTGGTATCAATGCAGGTCGATTGATTTGTTAGATCAAAAAGTCATTATGATTGCCAACTCTCGTAGGGAGACGGGACTCTAAGAAGAAGAAGCTTATGGTCCGGAAATCATTGCAGGATACGAATTTTATTTTCTTTGGTAGAGCAA